CCCCCCCCCCCCCCCCCAAAAGTCGTCTTTCTTTTCTCCCTGATCTCTTTCTTTGATTGTAAAATTAATGCAAAAGACGTGTAATAAAACGTACTAGTATAATTTTCATGTTTCTTTATCGCCACAAAACAAACCGTAGCGAAACAAGTTGCAAACAAATCCATCCATGCATGTTTTTTTTTCTCTCTTTTCGTATATCCTCCGACCAATTGCCTTGGAACTCAATCTATCTCTGTAATGTATGTACATCCCGGCGGAGAAAGGCACTTATGCCCCGGCGGCAACCGGGGTTGGTGCATTTGCAGATACATGTCGTTGTCGTTGTTCCTTGTTGTTGTCGTCGTTGTTATTGCCGAGGAGAAGTTGCTGTTGGGAGGAGGTCTTCACAACGGATAGTTTCACCCTCGCCGTGGAAGAAGGAGAAGAAGCAGAGCCACGGCGATGATGATGATGATGATACACATTCCTCAATGTCTTCCTGAACTCACCCTCCACTGCTTCTATGTCTATCCACTTGCTTCTCCCCGGCTGTAGCCCCCAGTAGAACACTACTTCCGCCACCTTTCCTCCTCCTCCTCCTGCTGGGCAAACATGATACTCGGTCGGGTTGGGGTCGATGAATCCCTGTAATTCCTCCTCCAGCCTCACCACTAGCCATCTGAATCGCGACTTCACACACCCAACCCACACCTCCAGCTCCTCTTTCTCACTAGCTGACAGTGATATTTTCACTACCCGCCCGTATATCTTCCCATAAGGAAAATGTTCAAACAGGTCGCTCCAATCAAAACCCGGACTCAACATGTCCTGCATACACACGCACATACACACATGTATCATAACTCATCACAAGATTAATTTCAACTTGAACAAGACATTCAGAAATACCTTTGTCAAAGCATGACCCCTGAGAAACTCTGCCCGGATTTTGTAGTAAGTGCTTCTGGTGATGTTGGAATGACAGAAATCAGACTCACTGCCCGGCAAGTGGATAGGCCAAAGCCCGTGTTTTTCTCCGGGGATGAAAAGCGGCCTCATCGACCTGTCATGCAGGACTACCGGAACATGGCAAGGCCAAAAGGCAAATGTCTTGAAGAAGATCAACACCAGGGAACTCAACTTTGCTGCTGGATGCTTTTGACACACGAATGCTGAAAGGACTGCTAGATGAATCCCTCCAAAAAATCCTAGCAACTGAAGTGAAGGTAGTAATGCATGCCGGTGTTAGGCTTGTGGTGACTCACTCTTAAGCCCTTGTTTGGTGACAAAGGAGGGATATTTAACTACTATTTTCCTGCCATAATAATTCCCTCCTCACTCTCTATTGAATCAAACATAGCATATTTAGAAACTCTCTAAGCTCTTCTGTTTTCATCCTCTTTCGAACCAAACAAAGGCCCAAGTAAGCGTGTAGTAAAACATGAGCATGGATAGAAAACAACCCTTACATTTCCATACAACCCTCGTCTCTTTGCCCATAACTTAACGCAGCGCAGCAGTGATTGGAATTCCTGTTCAAACAACATTTCAAGAAATAAAATATGTGATTGATCGTACCATGCTTCCATCTGGATATAAATAGCAGATTCTGTCCCAAAGTACTATGCAAAATCTCATAGAGAGTTCCCAAAGCCTTCTCAGTTGATAACTCAAAATTTTATGCAACTCATCATTGATGTTTTTCCCACACAAAAAAAGAGAGATCTTGAGAGAGAATTGATTAAAACAAAATTGAATAACACATCATGTGGTTGTGTGTTTTAAGAATAAGAAGCCATGTATCGACTTTTATTGTTTTGTTTTTGTTTTGCATATTCATTAATGTACCTCAATGCTTGGAACAAGGGAAAGGATACTCCTATTAGCACGTACTCCTGATAAACTTTTCCAGCTGCTCTCGTCAATGTTCCTCATAAAAAATGGGTTGAACAAATCCACATTCTGCATAAACATCAGATCGCATGGTTAGATGCTGAGAAATCCAAATATCTAACATAACCAGCAGTTACAGAAGCAAAAACACGTAGAAATTGGAGGGCGCCATAAATCACCTCTGGGATGGATATTACTTTAAGTTGAGCATATGGAAGATCAACGGAGATCCCATCAAATTTAAAGCGCATCAGAGGAACTTTAGCATCCTTGACACAGTAGATGTCTGAGATTTCAGGTCTGCTGGCAAGTATGTTGTACAGCAAAACGAAAAAGTCTTCCTACAGTAATACATCACAAAATGAACTGTTCTATTGAAAAACAAAAGTTGACACTTCAAGAAATAATTAGAGAATAATCAATTGAAATACCAGAAACCAGAGAGGCCTACCCTCATATTAGCAAAGCAGGGGACAACACACAATGCATCAATGTCCGATGCCGCGTTATGAACCTGAACAGTATAATGAAACAAGTCAAAGGCAAATATGTACACCTAAACCCTCATAACACTATATGTTATAAGACCAAATTGATTTACCCCAAGTCCATATGAACCGAAAGTCAAAATCCTAGCCGAGGCCATAGCGAGGTATCTTTTTGGGAGTTGGTGTCTGTAAGCAACCCTTTTAATCCATTCCATTACTATCTGTGGGTTGTAATTGCATTCCAATAAGATTTGAAATATGAACTTAAAAAAGTGAATGTCAACTCAAGCAGAAAATTACATAACATTAAATGCAGACAAAGAATAAGCTTTGAATAGAAATATCATTTCTGCCCACAGATAAACCTTCTTTAACTTGTGAATGACATTTCTCCTCCTCAATTCATCTTCTTCTGATGGAACCAAACCCTCGTTCATCATCATCTGAAGGAACGAAAGGAAGATTTAAAAATGAAACCGAAACCCTAACGGCGAGGAAAATCAAGATATGGAAACGCGCATTGCAGCTCATCATTACATAAAAACGTTACCAACCTGTGAGAGAGACGAAGACCTTTCCATCTCCATTCTCAAGAACACGTCGAGGTTAAATCCAACCCTAGATGTAACGACCCGGTGAGGCGGAAAGGGAACAACAATTCTTGCAACCCTAATGGGCTGCGGTCCAGGAATTACGCGTGGAACCGCATGATTCCCTGCTCCAACACCAACATCGATTGAATGCTGAATCACAGGTTCCTCAAATTCCATAAAAGAGACCCGATATCCGATGAGAATATCTGGGATATCAACAATGAATTCCCAAACGAAAAAAAAAAAGGAAAGAACGAGAAAGATAAAATCTTTCTCGATTGTAATGCAACAGTGACAGAAGAAAGAAATCGGAAACCGAGGGTTAGGAGCACAAATCCTAGGGTTCTTAGAAAGATCAATCAAGAATAGCAGGGGATAGTGTTAGAACAAGAAATTCAGGGGAACTCCGCGGCGGTGGGATTTGGGGTTCCAAGCTTTGGTCGCTCGGAGTGACGACGTATTTGGAACGTTTTCAGAGAACACGTGCTACCCCAAGCAGCAGCCACGTGCCTGTGCTGTCCTTCCCTCTTTTTACCCTTTTCTTTTTTCTTTTTTGACTTCACACCACCAGAGACAGTACACTCTATAGTCTATACTGGCAAAATGGCACCTTGGATGACATGGTCTACAAAGATATGGTATGTTGTGATGAGAAGTAATAATGTGTGAGAATGTATTACATTAGGATTGGTTGACAAACAATGAAGTTTGCCAGTGGTGTCGCGGTGTTCACGCCGGTGGGTCAAATCGCGTAACGGATGGCCTAATAACCAATTGGTTGGCAAGTAGCGAAGCTTGCACATAGTATTTGCAAAAGTCTATGTTTAACATAATTGTCGGGCGCAATTGTTAGAATTCGAACTCGAATGTTATCTCTTTGGCACGTTTTGACGAGCCAACTGAGCTACGCCCCTAGTACCCTCTCTTGTTTTAACAAATTTAAAAGCAGATAAATCTATTCTAATACGAAGTATTAGACTTTGACACCATATAGAATATAATTGGTACTACATCCGTCTCAGAGTAATTGTTTAATTTTGACATTTTACAATTAAAATTGATAAATTTTGACTAAAAATTAAATAAATTTTATGTTAGGCATTGATACAAAAATATTGTTATTAGTGTTGTCTAGTAAAATATTTTCAAAATATTATTTTTTTCAAATTGAAATACCATATAATTTTATTTAATTATAAGTCATCAAAAGTTGATCATGATTAACTATAAAAATAAAAAACTGGATAAATACTTTGAACGAAGAGAGTATCTAATTTAAATAATGATTATCTATGTTCTATATATCCTACTCCCTCCGTCCCCCTATATTCGTCCACATTTAACTTTTGGAACTGTTCATCTAAGCACTTTGACTTATCAAATTCTCTCAATGTACAAGCCTAAATATAGTCATGTGTGATCTTGTTTGATTTGTCTTAACATATAGATTATTAATATATAATTTTTATAATTTTTAATATGCAAATTACATGATAAAATGGATTAAAGAAGTGCATTAGATAGTGTGTAAAAATGAAAGTGGACAAATACAGGGGGACGGAGGGAGTAGATAATAACTGTGTGTTTGTGAATTATGAAGTACACATTTGAATTTTTATTTTTGCAAAATTTGTGCAGAAAAAATACATTGTGTTTCGATATCAATGCTTTCTTTTAAAACGTAGTTTTAAATATGAAAAGTTAGATGAGCAAATTAAATCCGGACAAATGAATTTATTGTTTTGACAATTTATAGGGTTTTGACATATAGTGTGTCACTATAACCACAATAAAAAGTGATATACTGGCATCACATCGGTTGGATGGTGGAGAACACCAACAACATCATAGGGTGGTAATAGCGGGGTTAGGGGTAACGACGGCAGAGGGTGGTAATGCCGAGATTATGGTTGTTTTTAGATATTGTAATTTATTTTTATACTTTTTAATATGAAGACATAATTGTTGAATAAAAAAATTAAATGCAGGACATAAGTATATCACTCAATAAGAATTAGATTTAAGTTTATTTTTTAATAAGAATTTTGAAAGTTATATTGTGATACATGAAATATATTTTATTTTTTTTCTTCTAATTTTATTCAGTGTGTTTAAGCTCAATTTTATTAATTAAAGTAAGATACTATTAAAAATTTAAAAGGTACAAGGGAGATACTTTTTTGGACCATAATATCAAGGTGAAAACCAAAATTTGACATTGTATGATTGACAAACATAGACACACACAAAACACTACTGTAAACAATTAAACACTAGACTCTAACATCTCTTTCGGTCTCAAATTAAATTGTCTATTTACTAATCATAGATTCAAACTTTTTTCCTTTCTTCCTCTGTTTATATTAGTCATTTGATAAAATAATATAATCATGACACTACTAGTTTTGTAAATCTTATTATGTAGTTTTTAAATATGTAATTTTAATTTTTTTAATTGTACACTATTTTTCATTAAAATGATTCGAAAATAATTGCAATCAAACATGTAAGCTAAAATAGGCAATATAAATTAAAACGGAGGGAATATATCTTACAGATACGTATGTATAGACAATAACCATGAACACCATTGTATATTATCGTGAAAGACTTGAGCTTGTGGTCCAATGACTGTAAGAGCAGTGGTAATGGGCTTAACGCCCTTATTACGTTATAGTGACTTTGACGCCTGGGGGGCGTTAAACACCGCCCCCTCCCCCGTTATCGTGACGTTAAAACTTTTGTGTTAAAGTTTTGACGTGTATTGAAGGCGTTTTAATGCCTTTTTCCTTCTTTTTTCTCTCTCTTTTTTTCCTCTTTTCTTCTCTATAAATTAAATTAATTTTTTTTTAAAATTCAACACAAATACAAATTTCTCTTTATCTATCTTTTTTTTAAAAAAAAATTATTATTCAAGTATTTTTTAGTTTTTCATAAATGTAATTTTTTATTTAATGAATGTAGTTTTTTTATAATGAATGTATTTTTTTTGTTTAATGAATGTAGTTTTTATAATGAATGCAATTTTTTAATGAACTATACTCATTTCAATTCTTTTAAATAATTAAATATTTATATTTAATTAATTTAATTTTAGAAGATGTGTGTTTAAAATGTAAAAAATGAAGGTTTGAAGCCCCGGGGTTTCAAACCCATTTCCACTGTAACTGTGATGTAAGTTTAAGCTGACGTGGCAAAGAGAAGGTTTGAAGCCTCAGTTTGAAACTCCGGGGCTTCATAGGTATTTCCAGTGCCCTAAGATAACTCTTCCATGCAGGAGGTTACAAGTTTACTCATAGTGAACATGATAATTCTCGGTGTTTCAATAAATTGTGAAGATATGTATGAATAAATATTATAATTATAATAGAGTTGTCAGTACTAAACAAGTATTTCATCTATCACTATTTAAATTATATGTTATTACTCATATAATCAAATTTCATCCATTTTTTAAAATATATTTTCATTATAACATAATATAGTCATGCATTCGTCACGCAATCTCTTGTTTCATTTGATATAATCTGCATAGTTTTTAAATATATGATTATTATTTTAAATTCTACTCGAATTTTGGACTAAATTAAATTGAAAAATCAATATAGTCAAATATGATAAGGTGAAATGAACGATTTAATTTGAAATAGGGAGAGTATATATAACCAAATTTTGATTTCAAAATTGCTAAGATAGGACTCCAATTTAACTGATGTTTCAGGCGCTAAAGCTGGAAAATTATGATCTCTCCAGCTGAGAAGGATGAAGATATGTATGGAAGAAGTGAGCAAATACAGAGCCTTATTCCTCACAACTTAAATTCCCTTCCAAATCTAGGGCTCATTTCCCTAAATTCATCATCCATCACATTCGATTCACCATCTCCTCTCTTGCAATTGAAACCGCACATATATAAATCCGGCATCGGATCCCATGAGCTTCTCTGCTCACAGTTCAGTGCTTTCAGGAAGGAGGAAGAACCCTAAGCACTATAACAATGGTGTTGATCTACGGACCCTTAACACCTGGCCAGGTTAGAAGAACCTGACGCTGCCCTTCCTGTTCTATACATTTTGCACTGCCTGTGTTTATTATTAGAAGAATTATGTATATATGTGCCAATTGCAGGTGTCGTTCTTTATCGGAATCGTACCCCTTATCGCGGCTTGGTTGTATTCGGAGTACTTGGAGTACAGCAGGATTCTCGCTTCTTCCAAACTGTACGTCCAAGTTAATTTGAGATTTAGACCTCGATAGTCGTCTTCTTTGTAGAGTTTACAAATTGGTAGGTGTTGCACTACAGCAGGCATTCTGATACCCATTTGGTGGAGGTAGGCAAGGAAGCAGATAAAGAAGAAGAAGAAGAAGTCGATGAATCTGCTCTGTTGGAGAGAGGCATTGGCATCCACTCAGCTCCTCCAAGAGCCCACATTTCATCATCAGTAACATCTCAAGTTTTCAGGTTTCTCAAATGCCGGACATTGCGTTGGTAAATAATGAGTATTATTTCAAGTTTGCAGATTCGTCACGTGTTATTGTTTATTCACAATTCTAGGTTCTTCTTGATGGATAAAACATTCTTGCTTGAAAACCGGTTGATTTTGAGAGCTACGTAAGGACTTCACTTTCTTTTTAAATTGTCAGACTTGGTTGTGTACTATAGATCAATGTTTACCATTTCTCTCTTTTGTTACGAATGTTCCCCCTGCAGATCAGAGCTTGGTGCTCTTTTGTTCTATTTCTACGTTTGTGACCGTACCAATCTTTTCAATGAATCAAGAAAGGTCTGCCAACATCTCTATCTCCTCCTCCCCCATATCCAAGAAAACGAAAGGAAAATGCAAAATATATCCATTTTCATTCGCTTTAGCCTTTAAACATGATTGTTTTTTTTTGCAGAATTATAATCGGGACCTTTTCCTGTTCCTTTACCTCCTATTCATCATAGTTTCTGCAATATCTTCTTTTAAGATCCACCATGATAAATCCCCATTCTCTGGGAAATCCTTGATGTACTTAAACAGGCATCAGACAGAGGAGTGGAAAGGTTGGATGCAGGTAAAGTTATTTCCCTGTGCATATTCCATAGTTTCGTTCAACCAGAAGAAATCTTTAAATAACTCATATGAGGGATTAGAAGTTGGTGTACACTTATGTGCATCCATATTGTTGGGATTTTAAGCGCGTAAGATACCGAAAAATATTGAGAACTCTAGAAAAATGAGAGATTAAACACAAGAAGAATATATGAGAGAAAAAAATTATATTTCCACTTTTTCAGGACAATATACAAAAAACTCTCCCCTGTTTACAAGGCTAAATTCTAGACACTCATAAACAGATATTTCCACATCCTATCCCCGGATATATTTTTCCGAGTAACTAAAACCAATTACTCCCTACACTCACCCACACTCACCAAGACCCCTTAGATTTTCCCGGTGGTATTCTTGTATAGAATTCCTCCCATGTTTCTCTCTCTAACTTGGTGGTGTGTAAAACCCACACACACTATTCTAAAAAAAAACCCAAGTTATATACATACGAAGTGATTCCATCCAAGAGGAAGATGGTAAATGGGCCCTTAACATCACATGTATACAACCTCTCACATGCATGCATGATGGATGCATCCAATGCACCATCCATATCTTCTTTGTCCTCTTCCTTATTTTTCTTTCTTTTCTTTTGATTATTAATCAATTTCCCAACACATATTTCACAGGAGAGTAACACTGTGGCTTATAAGTTTGTGCTTGGGGTTCACTAATGTGATTTTTTTTGTGCGCACAGGTATTGTTCCTGATGTATCATTACTTCGTTGCTGCAGAGTTTTATAATGCTATTAGAGTGTGTATAGCTGCTTACGTATGGATGACTGGATTCGGGAATTTTGCATACTATTATATCCGAAGAGATTTTAGCATAGCACGATTCGCTCAGGTACTAGCTTTTCTTTGTACTAAGAAATCTTTCTCAACCAAACAATACACTGAAAGTTTATTTCTGTACCGGGCAGATGATGTGGCGGCTTAATTTTTTGGCGTTCTTTTGCTGCATTGTTCTAAACAACAACTACATGCTGTACTACATATGTCCAATGCATACTCTTTTCACTTTGATGGTTTATGGTGCATTGAGTATTTTTAACAAATACAATGAAAATGGCTCTGTGATGGCTACCAAGATCGTGGCTTGCTTTGTTGTTGTCATACTGATCTGGGAGATACCTGGAATGTTTGACCTTATTTGGAGCCCTTTCACATTTTTACTTGGTTGGTAGTATGCACCTTTTGTTACTTATGCTGTCCCGCATGTAATGCTGAATATGAGTATCTAAATGTCTTTCCTATTACATCATTTTAGGGTATGCTGACCCGGATCCTTCTAAACAAAAATTGCCATTGTTGCACGAATGGCATTTCCGATCTGGCCTCGACCGTTACATATGGATCATTGGGATGATATATGCATACTTCCACCCTACAGTAAGTTGCATGGTGGATCTGGATAGTTTGTATTTGTCATTAATTTTTTAGTCCAGTGATGTAAAGCCGTGATTTCGTACCTTCTCACTACCTGTATTTGATTTTTGTTTTATTCTTGCTGGATATCTAATTTCAAGGTGGAGATGTGGATGGAGAAACTTGAGGAAACAGAAGTGAAGCGACGAATAACTATTAAAACTGTTGTTGCACTAACTTCACTGGCGGTAAGAAAATATATTTGTATTTTAATAGCTAATGAATATTTACATTCCTGCATTTGTTTGATGTTACAGTTTTATGAATTTCAGATTGGATACATGTGGTATGAGCACGTATACAAGCTCCCGAAGATCACGTACAATGAATATCATCCGTATACATCGTGGATTCCAATAACGTATGCTTAGAGACCTTGTCTAACTGTTAGTTTGTGATTTGGTCAAGTGTCTTGTCATGCACATTGATTTGATATGTGGCTTATTCCTCATGCTGTCAGAGTTTTCATTTGCTTAAGGAATCTCACCCAGTCACTACGCAGCTACTCATTGACACTTATAGCGTAAGTGACCTTAAAACGCAATAGAAAAAAGAGAGTCATAGTGAGTACTCCATATATTTTATTTCCAGTAAATCCAAACAAAACACTCAGATGTTTTGTTTAAGTGGACAGCTTAGTAAACCAACCCTCTCTCACTCTATTTTCCTTTTGGGAATAACAGATGGCTCGGGAAGATAACTTTGGAGACTTACATCTCACAGTTTCACATATGGTTAAGGTATTAGTATTTTCTTGCGGTGAATTTATTTGTGTTTGGTGTGTCTATTATGACCACAATAAGGAACAATGGATTATTAGTTAGTTGAAATGTTGAACTGGAGGTTTCTGTGTTGTGGATTACTGATGCTAATTTATGTATATTAACAACTAACAGTAGCAAAACAACACTGCAGGTCCGGCGTGCCAGATGCTCAACCCAAAAGGCTGCTATGCTTCATCCCGAAGTACCCATTGCTGAACTTCATGCTTACAACTGTCATTTCTGTTGTTGTAAGGAGAGCCATGCAGCTTTTTTTTCCTTTTTCTTTCAATTAATAAGCATGAGGCGTGACACGACACACGAGAGTCCGTATATTAATGAACTTGGTTCTGTTACACGTACATTTGCAGGTTTCTTATCGGCTATTTGAATTGACGAATACATTAAAAGGTGCACTTATTCCAAGCAAAGACAACAAACGTCTGCTCTATAACGCAATCGCTGCCTTATTGATTGGATGTTCCATATACACACTTTCTTGTGTGTATTTGAGGCTATCTCAGATAATGGTATGTATGTGATTCCTCACTGTTCTTCTGTCTTGATATGTTGACCTTAATGCGAGTAATATATGTTCGTTACGTCATCACCTTAATAATCTGTATGTGCAGATATAGAAAATTTGAGACGCAATGCACGAGAAGAGGCTCGATGATATCTTCCACTGTGTGTCTGTGCTTTATTATAAGCACTTAATTGGATACATACATACATACATATATATATCAGTCATTGTAAAATTGGTGAATGCAATTCTGTCAGTTTTTGAGTTCACTTTTGGGGCTGCATACAATCAATAGAAGTGATGAGTGAATAAACAATAATTATACATAAGCACATACAAATTGCTGTGTCCTCTCTTTCTTCTTTTCATATAAACGGAGTGTTGAATTATTGATGTATTCACGTCTGCCATGTTATTCACGTATGCGGTTAAATAATTGTTGATTGTTTTAAGGGGTGAATGACAAAAAAATTGAGTTTAAAACATATAAAAACTTTGCAAAAGTATTTCACCAATCATATTCATATACTGTTCAAATTTTGACAAAGTACTATATTTTGACATTTGGGTATGACGGAATAAAACAAAACTATTGTTCATACAATTTGTGTTTTTGTTGTGGTAAAGTAGGAGTTAGTCAATATAATTTTCAACATTCGTTATAGGTCATCGGGAAATAGTTTTTTATATTCTAAACTTAGTAATTAGTTTAGAATGGTTAAAATAATGAAATTGTCCAACGAGAATTCAAGTGAACCTTCATTTTACCCTTTAATTGGGATGTGAATTTTGATTGAAACAACTAAAAAAAGAAAACTAAGTTCTTTTAGACGTGGCTTATGTTGAAAAATTGAGAAGGGAAAACCATGCATAACAACGTTATAAGGAATGATATTTGAAGAACGTAAAAAAATTTGATAGAATTAGGAAATTGCATGAAACATGCTTTCAGAAACGAAGATGTAAATATCTAAAACACGTATCTAAGTTTTGTGTATCTCAAAAATATCTTGAACTCTATGTGTAGAGCAAAATCCAAAGGGATGTGTTTTTTTTTGTTAAATAACATGATTTATCGAACAACATTCGAATGTTTAAATTAAACTTAAAAGATTTTAAATTTTAATCTCGTAACTTGTTAATTTTGTTTAAATTTGTATCTGATCTAAATAACCCCTCCATCTTAAATCAGATTACAATTTTTTTTCTCTCGCATCTCGATAATTTGTATTTATTTATGTGTTTTCATTTAGTATTTGATAAAATACAATATTCTCGACACATCTCGTTTTGTATAGTTTTTGACATAATCTTTTAGTATATAATTTTTATATGTTATTGATGTATTAATTTATAAATAAAATGATTCCAAATTTGTACGGAGTAATAAAATTAGGGGAGAGGGAGTAATATTATTGACAAATAAAAAATCTTTTCTTCGATATCCAGCCTACCCGTTCCTCAAATCTTCTTTGGCAATGGGCAGTTCTTCCGGTCAAAGAAAGAAATAAGCTCCGACGGGAACTTCTGGACCTGGGGGGACTTATAGCTACGATTCTCACAATCTCATCCTCTTCGTGAATTTTACCAGTAGTAATAAACTGATGACGATTGATGAATATCTTCTATAGTACACCGTAATCTCTGACCAATAAGCATTCCCCGGCTGCTTTTATTTGCGGGCAGTTCCAACATACAACTTCACAAAGCTTCTCCCTTTTTCTTTCCCTTGAAAAATGATTCTGACAGCGAGATGGGCGAAGTCTCTGTTTAAAGCGCCCAGACCACCGCCGGCACCTGTGATCCCAAACGCGGACTTGGTTTCCGATGATCATAAGAACCCCACAGCTTTTGAAGAGTCAGAGGTTCTGAGGAGGCTGAGAAACGAGCCCAATGCCGGGCTGGCTTTTGAGTTCTTCAAATACGTCTCCAATTCCAAATCTTTCAAGCACACCCAGCGAACATACGGAGTGATGATCCAGAAACTGGGCTGCAACGGGATGATGGACGGAGTTCACTACCTTCTGCAGCAAATGCACCTGGACGGGATCCATTGCTCCGAGCGCACCTTCGTCGCCGTGATCAATTTCTACAGGGAAGCGGATGCTGCATCTCAGTCCTTGAAAGTGTTCTACAGAATGCAAGACTTCGGCTGGAAACCCACGGTGAAGGTTTACAATCATCTGCTGGACGCGTTGCTGGGCGAGAACAGGTTCGGCATGATCAATCCTGTGTATAGAAACATGAAGAAAGACGGCATTGCTCCCAATCTGTTCACATACAATATTCTTCTGAAGGCCCTGTGCAAGAATAACAGGGTGGACAGTGCATGCAAGCTGCTCGATGAAATGTCTCACAAGGGTTGCCCTCCTGATGATGTGAGCTATACAACGATCGTGTCCTCTTTGTGTGATCTGGGCAGGGTGGAAGAGGCTAGAGACTTGGCCATGGCGTTCGGTGCCACTGTTTCGGTTTACAATGCACTCGTGAATGGGCTTTGCAAGCAGGGGAAAGTGAAGGAGGCAATCAAGTTGTTGGATGAGATGATGCACAGAGGTGCCACTCCGAATACCATTACTTACACGCCGATATTGAATGCTTCGTCGGAGTTGGGTAACGTCCCACTCTCCCTTTCCATCTTAGCCAAAATGTTTGTGAGAGGATGCTCTCCCAACATCTACACTTTTACCAATTTGATTAAAGGAATGTGTGGTGCCAGAAGGTGGCATGAAGCACTCGTTGTGTGGGATGGTATGATCAAGGAAGGGGTTTTCCCTAACGTTATTGCATATAACACATTGATACGCGGGCTTTGTTTGGCTGGAAATATGAACGCGTCTTTATCTGTCTTCAACCAAATGGAAAGGCATGGCTGTCCTCCGAATTTGACAACCATTAGCACTCTCATAGACGGATTTGCAAAATCTGGGGATCTGAGTGGTGCATCTGAGATATGGAACAAGATGACAGTGTTGGGTCTCCGTCCAAATGTTGTGGTGTATACATGTATGGTGAATGCCCTATGTGAAAATTTCATGTTCAACAGTGCTTATGAAATCATGGAGAACATGGTGGTTGAAAATTGCCCCCCAAACACCATCACGTTCAATATATTCTTGAAAGGTTTGTGTGCAAGTCGTAAAGTTGATTGGGCTATCATGATATTCAATCAAATGGAAATGTTTGGGTGTTCCAGAGATGCAACCACGTACAAGGAGCTACTGAATGGGTTGTTTAGAAACAACAACCTTTCCCTTGGTTTGGAGCTTTTAGTGGAGATGGAAAAAAAGGGGGTTGAGCTTGATCTGGGGGCATATAACACTATAGCTTCTGGGATGCTTGAAGAAGCTCCAAAAGTTGTTGCGAAGATGCTCGTCAGGGGAATAAAGCCCGATGTTTTCACATTCAACATACTGATAAATGCTTACTGCAAGGGAGGTAATTTCAAACTTGCCTGCCAGCTTCTTGATGCAATGAGATCAGAAGGATGGAAGCCAGATATAGTTTCATATACCTGTCTCATATCCAGTTTCTGTGAAATGTGCGATTTCGAAACAGCTACGGATTGTGTTGGCAGGATGATAGATGAAGGAATTCTCCCAAACGCGTCTACGTGGAACATTCTTGTGCGCTTTTTGGTTAGCCAGATTGGTTATGCTGACGCAGTTCGACATTTAGACAGTGTCTTGGTGAGCAGAGCTTCAACAACAACAACAACCCAGTTGAATCCCACTACAGTAGGGTCTGGGGAGGGTGTGTGTACGCAGACCTTGCCCCTACTCGGAAGTAGGGAGGTTGTTTCCAAGAGACCCCCGGCTCCAACCTGCACAAAAAATATGATAGGGCACAATAAAACACAGATAAAACACCAAGTACAATGGAATGATGAGCAGAGCTTCTTAGGAGGAATTGAAAGTTCAAATGTAGCCTTGGTGTGAAGAATCATAAATTTAATGGTGAAATGCATTATTTGGCTCTAATGTTGGAAGCCATAATGCAGTTGAAGAACCTTTGTTTCTTCTAATTTGTAGCTGGGTGGTTCTGAACGAGGAGAATACAGCAGAATTTGCTTTCTTCAGGGGTTCTGATGAAAAAAATATCTGAAATTAATCAGCACAGGACATGAGCAAACTATGAGTGAATATCACGGAGCTGAAGGTATCTATCTCATTCTTTTCCTCTGTGGGCTGTTTTATTTCCTTTCCTTTTCAAATATTTGATTTTTGATTATGAATATGTGATCAGAGCCTTCGCTCTAGATATCCAACTTTAACCATTCTTTGATTAGAATACAGTTTCAGTGACATGGCGACACCAGAATTGTGTAAAGAATGGTTGGTAGATGCTTGCTGTGGGATTTTGAGATCAGAATGGTAAAACCAGTTGTTTGTACTCTTATATTCCACATAAAAAAGTTCTAGTAGTTATAGGGTCTAGGTTTAAAATTAAGAACATTATTCATGTCAACTATCATTTTAATTAACATGCTTTTATGCAAAATCAGGGACGGGGTATACTCCATGGCAGTCACCGTCGTGAAAACCGGCCTGCAATTAATGTCCCTCATGCATGCTCCCTTGAACTTTGTGACTCGGGACTCGCACATCCTCCCCTCCACCACCATTTTCCTTATGCTACCTCCCATCTCGGAAGGCAAATCGGTGGCCCGAAGAGCATCACAATGAGGATTGCAACTGCATATGAGCTAAGAGAGAATGAAGCCATTGCAAAGAAACACATAGAGGAGGGGATAAAAAGAGGTATGTTTAGGAGCCATTCTAGTGCTATAAAATCATACCTAACAGATGCTAATAAAATTTCAAAGTTGAGGTTTTGTTTAAATGAGGTTGAAACTTACAACATGCCCATCCACCCACCCTAAGTTGAAAAGTTTTCACAATGTTTTACACATTGATGAAAAGTGGTTCTATATGTCTAAAACTTGAAGGTTTTTACAGAGTATGATGAAATTTGATCTGATACTAATTTTCCATCACATTTTTCAGATCTTAAAGATTTATATGATTAAATTTGAATTGATAGGTAGATTTATATGATTAAATTTTTCAGATCTGCGGGGATGAGGACTACGGAATGAATGATGCACTGCTGCTTCCCTGGGAGATTTGGGTAGCATTTCGTTTGCTTGATTTGATCTGATCTGATTTTTTAAAGATCTGATCAGGTCTGATTTGATTTGATCTCATGACAGTTATAATTAAAGTTGTTTCTTATCTGATCTGGCATGATCTAGTTTGATCTGTTCTGGTCTGATCTGATTATAATAAAAAAATAAGTAATAAGTAAAAAAAATAAGTTGAACAGAACGTTGCATTGATGTTATGAAGAAAGAGAGATCTGTATTAATCTTCCAGTTTTATTGTGTTGATGAATTTTGGTGTACTTTAACATTCAACAAAGCTTATAGTGATGCTCAAAAAGAGTGAAAATGTTGTAGTGTAATGTTTGTGTGCATAAAGAGTAAGTGCCCTTAGATGTTTCTCCTTTCCCTTCAATTAATTTAGCTTGAAGGTATTTTTGGAAGGCAGCTTTGATTTTTCTAATCATCTTTATTTATGAGACAAAATCAATAAAATGAGACAAAGGAAATACTCCCTCCGTCTCATTCTCTTTGTCCACTTACCTTTTGAGCTTTGGCACACCATCCAATGCACTTCTTTAATCCATTTTATCTTGTAATTTGTATATTAAAAAATTATAGAAATTATATATTAATAATCTATATGTTAAGACAAATCAAACAAGATCACACATGACTATATTTAGGCTTACACATTGAGGGAATTTGATGAGTCAAAATGCTTAGATGAACAATTCCAAAAGTCAAAAGTGGACAAAGAGAATGGAACGGAAGTGGTAATGTGTAAAGATATGTCCATAAATATAATTTTATCTACAACTATTTATAAAATGGGTTTGCCAAACATTTTTTCACAAACATTTGATCAACCGAACAATCAACTAAATCAATCAGTACAAAACAACAAATTATCAAACAAAGCCTTTGTCTCACAAGTAAACAAGACATACTACCCAATAGTGCTTTTGGCCGCTAAGGCCTTGTGCTCGAGAGACATAACCGAGATTTTCCCAAATGAAACGCCATTAGGTTTGAATCTTAGTGAGTCACTACGTTAAAAAAAGTGTGCGTATATACAAATATTAATATACTCAAACAAAAAGGAAAAAAAAAATAGTACTTTGAGGCCAGATACAAACAGCCTGCCTACACTTTTGCCAATTCCTTTTCCCTTCTGGCCAGACTTGGAATCCTCGGCCTGTTACCTCCATCATCATCATCATCATCATATTCTTCTTCATCATCATCATCATCATCATCTTCTTCTTCTTCTTCATAATCACCCTCATCATCAAAGTCATCATCATCCATTTCCAATTCAGTTTCAATCTCATCATCATTACCCTCATCTTCATCTTCGTACTCATCCATTACCTCATTGTCGTCACATAAAGAATAGTAGTCCGGAGGCGGCGGGCAATCCTTTGTTTCCGCTTTGTCCCTCTTCATGACAAGATGTCGAATGACTCTCTCGTCCTTGTCCAGCAACTCCTTGAAATCATTTATCCACTTGGCATCTAATTCAAAGTTCATCAATATGTAGTGCGCGCGGTTCGCTTTTCGTATCTTGTAAGCCAGTCCTCTCATACCCCAGTCGTTGAATCTCCAAACCTTTCCTTTTTTCTCCTTCAAAAAATCTATAAAAGCATCAAGCTTCCAAGTTTTTTAAAAGATTCTGAGCCGAGACAAATGAAAAAAAGGAAAACTACTATGCAGGAGTATAACATTTCAAGAGTATACATTCTCAAGTTCACAACCAGCCAGAAGCAAGGACTAATAAAAAGTTATTAAAGAAGCGGGTAGGACATACCTTGAACCATCATATTGACACTCTCTACCTTATCCTTGTGGTCTTCATGAATCAAGTAAACAACTTCATAGTGGCGCACTGCAGAATGAAACTCGTTTACTTATTACCAAGCAGTATAGAAACAAATTCATACTATTTTAAAAGCTACTTTGAGTGCAAAGGGTCACACTATAAAGTGATTCAGCTATTTACTTCTTGACCAATAATGAATAAAGGTGAGATTGTAGGACGAGATTGGGTTGTAAAACAGACTAGGGTGGGAAAACCTAAAACACTAATAAGATCTAACATGAATCTGATCATAGTTCATATATATTACTAATCAATTAGAAGACCCTCAGAATTGAACAAGTGAATGAGAGCCACACTTACTTCTTTCCACATCTAAATCACTCTCCAGCTGAAGACTCAATGAGTCAAAAAGAGCTCCTGCAAATGAAACAATCTCAGCCACCAGACATATGATCAGGGAATACATTCCCAACATTCACAGTTAACACTTACGTTCTTCCGCATCAGCAAACTCAGGCAGAAGCTTACCATCTTCTCCAGGCTTCACCTGTTAAAGAAAATGTTAATCCCTTAGCATATGAGATAAAAAGAGGTAAACAGTGCTCTGTGCAACTGAACCAATCTCAAACCAGCTATGAAACTTGCAAGTATCCAATCAACACCATCGAATATGAAATAAATGTCCTAAAGATGATTGAGATTTCATCACCTTCACTAAAAATGACTACTCTAATGTTATTCTCAGAGTAGTTTCTATTTAGTATTATTAAAAGAATACGATTCATGATGAACAACTAACTAAATTTATATGACTATAATGCCCGTATAACCAATTAATAGACCCATAATCATCAGCACACCATTCTCTTCCTTCCAGACACATTGTCCACAAAGACTCCATAATATCTACTCTTGATTATCTGAAGGATGAACATTGCATGGTATTAGTTGAAATTTTGTTATTCACAAATTCACCTAACTAAACTAGGTATTTTCTCAGGGAGACATATTATGTGGTAGGAAGCTGATCTCCATGAGATTTGTTGGAAACCTGATGCTGGTGGCCTACACATTGTTATTATTATTCTTCATTGTCGGTGAAGCTATTTGTCATCACCCACGGCCATCCAATCCATTCGTCTCTGCCTCCATTGCCAGATTCCATTGAGGCAATCGTCAATGAAGGCAGTGAAGGCAATGGGCATTGAAGCTAGATGGCTGGTGGACATTGTTGGGCAGTCAAGGCAGAAATGTTGGATATTGATTAACGGAAGGGGCAATACTGGACATTGCTTGTTTTTTAGCTTTACGTTTTTATCTCCCCTGTTTTTTTGGTCATATCATATAATGGGAAGGAATTAAAAAAAGAAAAGGAATTTTCTAGTCCTTCAACTTTCCAATCCAATATGGTCTATCTATACAACCCAGTTTATAGTCCACCATTGAGTTTCCAGCCTTCACCAGATTTTGTACACGCATACCAATCGGCGTAACTTTCAAAAATACAAGTTTAAAAAGGATAATAAACACAATTACCTCTTTGAGGAGGACGGCTTCAGGGAAAGTGATTTCATCTGGTCGTGGAAAGAAACTATGGCTGTCTGATTTGTTCTTATTCTTCTTCTTATTGTCATTGATGGAAGAAGCTACTATGAGAGACGAAAATCTCAACTTTCCAGATGAAAATGGAAGGGGAAAATAAGAAGAAGATGTTGAAGAAGAGGAGGGGCAGAACTGGAATTTTGCAGATTTGGAGCGAAAGTTGCGGTTTTGAGAGCAGAGTACCAAACTCCCAACTTCCGAAGAAGAAGCAGAAGCAGCTGTGAGGAGAAAGGTATCCATCATCTATTATTGCTTAGAATGGGTTTCTCACGGCGCCGGGCGGTTGAAGAAGAGACGATGAAGATGAAGATAATGGGGGATTTTTAGAACATTCAGGAAGGTCCCAGACCAACGTTGTCGCATAAAAATTCAAAGGACCATCCTACACTTACACCAAAAAATATACCCATTTGTACACCACAGGTTTGCACAAACATTTCGATGGTTTACACCGACACAAGTGTTGGTGCATTAATAAAAATTCACACGGACACAAATGTTGGTGCGTTTAACAAAAATTAGTTTTACACCAACACAAAGTGTTGGTGCAAAACTGCGGGGTACAAATTGGGGTACAAAACTTGGGGTACACATCGCATAATCCAAATTTAAAACTTTTGTGACATGGAATATGGGTTTCGGCTTTTTTTTTTAAACAAAAAGATACTCTCCCCTTCTAAGTAGTAGTGTAGTACGAGTGTAAGACACTTCAATTTTTATCCAAATCAAAGACAAAAGGGATAGTGAGTTCGATTTTGAACCAAGAAGTTTGTAAGTATTTAGTTATTCATTTGGTTTTATGTGATGTTCATTTTATTTTTAATTTATTTTTTCAGTTTTTTCGATTTTTAAAAATAAAATGTTATAAGCATTAAGGAGTTGTAACAATGCTAACTCGATGAAACAATAACAATGTGTAGGACAGAGTTCAATTTATACCAAAATCGAAAACCAAATGGATGTTAAATAAAATTTGATTCGGTTAGATCTTACGTAAAAAAATTGTTGAGTATCCCACTAACACAGGAGAGATTTTAAATAAGGAAAATGCTAGGGTAGGGGTACACCAAAAGTGTACCCCAAACATCCTTCACCCCCTCCATCGTCACACAAAAAGGCAAGAAAATTTCAAAAAAAAATAAAAAATTAAAAGAAAATAAAATGAATGGTGTAGAGACAAGTGGTGTACATTTGGGGTACACCTTTGGTGTGGGGTGTACCCCTAGCATATCCCTTTAAATAATCCCAAAGACAAGGTAGATCCAAAAGTTAAGGGAATGGGTCTATGAAAACTAGGTAGATCTAAAATGAGAAAATACCTACTCCTTATACGGAGTAATTCAACTAAAAGCCGCGCTAAATTTCGAATACTTGTCCTCTTCCTCATAGGACTCCCATACCATGTAATTTATTACGAGTCTTATTATTGTTGTTGTTGTTGTTATTAATATTATTATTGTTGTTGTTGTTGCTACTACTACTACTACAACTACTACAACTAGTCTACTACTATATTGCATATAAGAGTGATTCACAATAATACTAGTCCGTAAAATATAGAGAGTAAATAAATACAGTGCGAGTAAATAAAATAAAAATAGTTTCGGCAGCTGTAAAAAGCAGAGCTTTATCTAGAAAGAAACATTTACAGGGGCAATCCACTATGAAGTATGAGCACATTGCTTCTTGCACCTCATATTGTGTGTCTACGTATTGTTTTGTGGGAATGAAGATGTTAAAATGTCCTCTGGGCTTCTTTCTCCTGAGACTGCTTGCAAACTCACCATTGCCTTTTCCCTTTCTTCTTTTTCTTGTTCCCACCCGCTGCACCGCCACTTCCCTTCCCAGTCTCGGCTGTTGCCGGAGGAGGAGGAGCCGCCTCTGATGAGCTGCCGCCGGTGTTAAACAGGCCAGCTTGCACGGCGCTCCTCACCCACTCCATAAATTCCTCTTCAGTCATGGTGGCAGCCTCTTCCATGTTCGGCATCCGAGCCGAGCTGCTGCTGCTGCTCCTTCTCTCATTGCTACTCTTTAATATCACGCTTGGGTTCACATGGAAACTTGGTTTGTGACTGTTGGCCGTACATCTCATTCCCTGCCCCCAAAACGTTTACAGGGAGGGGGTTGGTTAAACATATGGCTCTTTTCTTGAAAATGTGAAAAAAAAAAAAAGAGTGAGGGACTCTACCTGGCAGCTATACCATTCACTTGCATCATAAATCTTGCGGTCCACACAAACATATGCACAAGGAGTCTCCACCTGCTCAGCCAACAACAAAACAAGCCATTTTAACCCCATAAAAGTAGGATCTATGAGCGTTTGTGTACACAAAACTTACTCGTACTTGGAAGTAGAGAGACTATTTCGAAGAGACCCAAAAGCACAAACACAATAGACACAGTAGAATACATATCGACACTGGCCACAACACCCAAAACATAGAACACACCAAAAACACATGCACAAAGGTTTTAGAAAAAAAACAACAAAAAATACATACTAAGGCCTAAAGGTCTACCCAACTACTCTAATGTGGCTATGTGCATTACAAACCTTCATCAATAGTCCATATAGGAATGGGTGTGAAGTCTGTTCAACCCATCCTTCTCCATCTCTAGCCGGGTGGAACTCCTCACATTCCTATGGGAAGAGTAAGAGTCATTAAAGTTTACTGTTGAGTCATAAAGATATATGTATAATCCAGTTTTGAATATGAGGATGAGAAGATGGCAATACAACTCTCAGCATATACTCTCCTCTTTCTTTTTCCCTTTTTTTTCTTTTGGTTTAGAAAAATGTGGAATCACATTGGGAAGAAGTAAAAAAGAAACCTGACACCATCGTGCTTTGTTTTTTGCTCTGTCAGTGCAAATCCAGAGATGAAACTTGCCGCACTTGCAGGGAATCCGTTTAGACTCTGCATGAATATCTACACCAACACCTTCTGCATGCATAAACTTGCGGCCTCGATTCTGAAGTTGTAGCAACATATTGAGAAAAACAGAGCTTGGAAAAAGAATACTGTGCATTTTTCATGTAAAGTGTAGGGTGCACAATGCAATATTGCATAATGGACTTCAGCAGTAGTAGGCAATTGCATGCTGCTAAAATAAAGTTTATACTGGAGAATAAAAACTACTCTGTATTCAGTTTCATATAAACCAAATCCGATAATTAGACCTTTTGAGGAGTATTTCGGAAGCTATGTAAGTAATTCATCAGTTCTTCACTCCTCAATTCATCATCATACGTTTTTCGCTTGAAAGAATCGAGCAAAACCTGGAAAGTTAATACAAAAAATAATTTTAAATAACAATACTTACATACACCATGTGCATAACTGCATATGACAGAAGACCAATTAAAAAATGGAATGCAATTTATACTTCATACGCATTTTGGAGTTTCTTGAAAGCATCTGCAGCCCTTTCATTGCCCATATTTTTATCTGGATGAACCAACATTGCCTGAATGCAAAAAAATTAACAGATAATGGTTGGTGAAACTCTCAATTTGGTGCAGATTTTAACTTTTAAAAAGTAGTGAACTCTCTGTGTGTTAACCTTTTTTCTGTACTCCCGCTTGAGGGTCGAAATATCTACATCCTGAAACCTGGATAAACCCAAAGCTGAGTAGTGATCTGCACAGTTCAACAATCTAACAACCTCACTTTCAGATGTCATTTCCAAGTTGGGCACACTTGTGGAAGGTATTCCTCCTCCCCCACCAACATCAGCAGACACTCCGGCTGTTTGTTCTGGAGAGCTGTCAGAACTTTGTTCATTTAAATTGTTCTTCAAGAAGAATACCAGAACATCACTTGAAATAAAGGACAAGTTTAAACCCAATACTAAACCAAGCCATCCGACATATGTCCGTCCACAGTAGACAGAATACAAGGTCAAAATGAGCATTGCAATGCGGCCGTGTTTCAAACTGGCGAGAATCACTGTATCATGAAAATTACAAATCTTAATTGGGAAAAATATAAGATCAACAATACTTATGAAGCTGAGCTGAAAAATCACCTCCACCCAAGATGACAGGAATTGCTACAAAAATTTGTGTGTAGATCCACAAGAAAGCAACCCCAATAACAAATACTGTAAGAATTGCAATTTCGAGACCAAAAAATAGTCCAAATGTAGAGACACCTGCCTGGATAAGAATGGGAACACATGAACAAAGGAAAAATAAAAGCAACCACAATGCCAGTATTAGATAGACAAACAACCACATTGTTGAAGCTGATACAAGGTAAAGAGTGAGGTATTTATGAAGTACAACTCACACCAACCTTTACGCAAAGCATCTAAAGAAAATTATGTGTATTCAAAATCTAGAGTCCAGATCTAAGACAATATCCATCTCCTATTCCACGGGGAAAAAAAGTGGGCACTTACCAGAATCAGTAGGAACTTGAATCTGCTAACTGCAATCAAAGAGAGAACACCCCACCACATGATTGAAAGAAGTGAAGCTGTCCCCATGCATAGGAAAGAGCCCATCCCTCTAAGGCAGCAGTCAAACCAAATCATTGACAACAAAAGCAATACTTTTCCAAAATTCACAATCCAATTCAAAGCAACAGGATATGCTTGTTCAACCTTCTTCCGAGCATACCAACTAGCATTTGATGCAATGCTCTTCAGACGTCTAATCCATGGTTTCCTCCTCTCTATCCATTCAATACATGACTTTGACACTGACACCCCTATGGTCCCCAAATACCTAAAAATAACTACAAACGAATACTCATAAGTTTCTCGAGTAGCAGTTCTTTCCAATGAGGGACTGTGTCTGCTCTTTGGGTCATCGGATTCCTCGGAGCCATGATCATTGTGGGAAGGTATTTCTTTTGCTTCTCTCGACTCAGAAGCTTCTCCTTTATGAGGATGACTATCCCACTCTCCTACAACTTCTGCATTCTCAGTATCTTTTGACACAACTGCATCTCGCTTCTCATTTTTTAGCGATTTTCTGTGTTTCTGTTTGCTCTTCGTCCTTGCTTCGGGGTGAGAGGAACTATTCAGTTCCTGATTTAAAGACACCCTTGGCACATTGCAGTTCAAATGTTTTTCCCCATTGGCAACATTTGGCTCACTCACATTACTGCCTTGCTTTTTATATGGATGTGCTGAACCAGAATCAAAAGGTTCTTTTCTTGAGTTTCCTAAATTACTATCAAACCCATGCTTCTGTAGGCTTCCTTTGCGAGCCATGAGTTATGTGCTATTTGCAAACATTTGGGTCTGATGTCATTTTCATAATTTGCAGTGATGGGATTTGATCACACATGCCTGATAGCATAAAACACCCAAATTCAACTCAAAAATTATCACATAAAAATGTACGTATAAAAGCAGACACAAAGTATACAGATGGTTCTGGTAAACAAAAGCAGTAAATGTAATTGACAATTTCACATCATATATACAAAGCAACAAGGGGCATCAAAATAATCCACCAAATCATATAGTCAACTAATTTTCCAACCAACCAAAATGATCCATTTAAACCCTTCGCGCATTGCGAATAAGTTTATCAATGTCCGCCATTGAAAATAAGGAAGGTGTAGATTATTATTTTTGTAACTACAAATGTAAGATCATCCTAATCTCTAATGAAGAAGATAAACTACAAAGGTGTAGTTTATCAATGTCCGCCATTGCATAATTTTTTCACTCTCCTTTACAAAGCAGCTTTTGCTGGCAAAAAAATGCAAAAGGATCTTATGTTTCTTAACTAGTTTCACTTTAATTGTGCATGTTCAAAGCATGTATTGGTGAGATACCGCAAGAACCCCAGAGAAAGATTTCTCAAAAGAAGTGATTTCCTAAGTATCACCACGACGAGGGAGAGTACTAAAACGGGATGGGGAAGGGGATTTTGGGAGGGAAAACATAACTGACTTGAAGTTTCCGTCAACAATACGTGAATTAACACCTCAAAGATACTAAAACGAAAAGGTGAATCGAAATTGTAACACAGACTCAAATACGATCTCTTCCGCTGCAGTTACTTTAAAAAAAAACAAGGCCGATTGACCAGAAAATTGAGACGCATGGATAAAGCTATTGGAAACAGGAGTGAAGTAATTGCAATCCAAAGAGGTCTCACCGTGCCCGTTAAAGCTTACTCGACACACAGCTTACAGCAATGGCGGAATTGAATTGCTGAAACCCCTCCCGCAGAATCGAACGGAGTGAGTCGGGTCGCTATTTATTCTGGAGTCGAGTCAGAACTCAGAACCCTTGCTTAAAACGACGGAGTCTCTAAGGGAAAATAGAAGGTAGACGATGAAGAGAAACGTCGCACAAAGGAGCCTAATAAAGACTGTTTTTATTCTTGGACAAGTTCTTTATTCTTGGTTTTTTTTTGATCAAAATATTTATTCTTGGTTTTTAATCACTCCATTTCCTTTTTTTTATTGAAATATTGAAATAATAATATTGCTCCCTTGAATTATAAAGTACATGATAAAGTATATATAGAAGAGATTCCTGACACAACTAGGAATAGAGAATAGAGACTAACTAAAATACAACATATGCTACAAATAAGATTAGGAAGCTGACTAATAATGAAACACTACCATAACCAATACTACCAGAAGTAATATTAGTATTATTATCTAACATTTTTATTCTGGCCAAGCCAAAAAAAATTACCATTGAACCTTTATAACATAAAGATAAAATTTTACATATTCAGTTTTTTATTATGAGATGTTACCATTTTAGTCTTTTTTATAAGTATCTTTATGTAGTAATCTTTTTATCTTTTCCTAAGTACAGTACAACAATAATAGCTATGATTGTGGACTAGAATTTTGATCAAAGTGACATTTGTAGATTATGATTGTACTAAACAGTGATTGGACAAACGACACGTCATCACTGACATCTGACATTAGCTAAAGCAAGCAAGAGATATGGTCATTGTAAAACTATTTTTAGCCATCAATTTAACATTAATGTGACAGAAGGTCAAAAGAGATTATTTGTACAAAACTAACTATAAAAACAATCACATACGTAATATTTGCTATTTGAAAACTAAATGTAGATCATCTCATCATGTTATAAAAGATCAATTTCGAGGGTACTTTTCAAAACTAACAAGTAAGATTTGACGAACAATTTATTAGATAAATTAAAGGACATGTGGTATTTCATATCTTATCTTTATTCACATAGTCTGTTTGGATTATAACTATCATCTCATTTCTAATTTTATGTTTTATTTTCCCCACTTGCGATTGACAAACAAAAATAAATACACAAAAAGTGTTTATTTTTTAGTTAATTATAAATGTTGGCGACAAAAGAAGGAAGCCGGATCAAAGAAGGAACCTGAATCCCTTTGGGATTCGGTTTAGTATCTTTCCTAGTTTGCTTAGTTCTTGTTATAGTAGGAATAGAAATATGGTAGGAATAAAAGTTTACTTATATGCTTTACTCTCTTCCTATATAAAGAGGGTTAGACCTTTGTATTCACAAGCCAATTCAATATACAAAATATTTTTCCTCT